AAAAAAAAAAAAAAAAAAAAAAAAAAATGAAATTGTTGCAAATCTCTTCATTCTGAATTTCTTAATTATATTATATATCCCATTACAAATAAACAAGTGCATACGTATCATAAAGCTCTATACATGTAACACTATCGGTCAACAGTTTCGGATTACTTCGCCTCAAAACTAATATCACGGAGACAGCAACAGCGAAAAGAAATCCTCTCGAAAGTGTGAAAATCGAAAATCGATATTTCAGAGACCGCGTTAGAAGATCCTTAAAACAAAAGTAAGAAGTAAATCCACGTCGCGGTCGCGAGAACAGAAAATCCCGAGAGAGAAGAATAGAAAAAGCATCCTTGCCCGATGAGAGGAGAACTAGTGAGAAGTTAGCGCACGCAAACGGCGACGCCGGAACCGACGTGTCACCGGAAACGTATGTAGCGAAGCGAGCACGATCAACAATCACCCGGGCGATCCGGCCCTCGAATTCGTCGCGTTCTCCGACTCGACGGTGAGTCCCTCGCGAGAAACACTGGCAAACTCACCTGGCGTGGCTGGTTTCGAGGTCTGTGGTTGACACATTGTACTGGACGGAGTCGGTGACGATGTCCCGGGTCGATGTCGATGGTGAGCCTGGAGACGTTTGCGTGCTGATGTGGCTGGTCGTGTACTCGCGGCCCGTCGTGTACGCCACCGAGCTCGAGTCTGCTTTCGAAAATAGAAACAAGATAGAGATAGAGATAGATAGATAGATAGAGAGAGAGAAGCGTCAGCCGGTTGCTGCAATTACGCGTATCCGATTGGCTCGAACCAGGGGGATGGGGTAGTAACGTGCTACCGACAATATTTACGCGTGCGTAGGCCGGCGATATTCACGCGTGCGTGGCCAGCAGCCACGTTGCGAGCACCCTGACGCCTGCCACTCGTGTGTCTCGCCGCTTCCAGCGACAATCGTTCAATCATTTACACACACGCACACCGATCATCCTCTCCTGTGTACATACGCATGCATCGTATATATCGCGGGTTAATTGTTTCCCTTTTTCATATTCGCCCTTTCGCCCTTACTGTTGTGACAAACATGGGGATTTGTGTGTAGAAAGGTCGAAAGGGTACGGAGTGTATAGTATATAAATTGGAGTGGCTGTGGTTGGAAGTTGCTCTCATGATAGTCCTAATTGGGAGCTTTTGTACGGCGAAGAATATATGTATGTATATTTCAGGATAAGTTAACTCTGCGAGGGTCATGGAATTTCTGTGTTTCTACTGTTGCCATGGGCTGATCAAAAGTCAACCTCATGATGGGCCCCTAATTGAAACTTTCCCAAGAAAAGTACATGCACAACGGAGTTTAGGAAAAGTTAATTCTGTTGTGGTTCGCTGTTTTTCTTAGTTAAAGCGTGCTATCTAGTACTTTGAAACGGAAGTTATACTGTTTGTTCAATTTAACTCTATCATTTTTATTCCTTCCACCTTAGATGTCTTTTATTCAAACTTTAAAAAAATTCATTTGTGAAAATTAATAGAATTCAACTGTACATAGAGATTTAGGAACTATGCATATTTTAATAATATCTAGTGAAATATAATATTTATTTATTATGTATAGATCAACAAACAATTTGTGTGTATATTACAGTTATTTTATTTAAAAGAGAGAGAAAAAAAGAAACAAAGAAAGTGTAAAATATCGTATGAATTTCTTAAGAGATCAATTCTGCTACCAACAGTCACCGATATGTTTCTTCTTCTTTGAAAAATTACCTTAATAATCCATCTTTCTCCAAATTAGCGTTAAACGAAGAAATCTGTCGGCTAGTTTATGTTCGTTCAGGGTTCGTTGGATGTTGAAGTGGATTTGATAGTGGCTGATGATGAAGTGGCGGGATTAAGCCGAGTTGAGCAGTTACCAACTTGTGTTAATTTTCAGTTACACTCGAGTGAACTTGCAAGGGTTGCTGTCAGTCGAAAGTTTAATACGAAGTTTACGAGGATGCTTGGAAGATTCATGAAAATGGAAGACACGGCAATAAATCGTTTCTCATTAATTCGCATTAAGAGAGACAATCTTCAAAGTGTTTGCCTTATTAAGATTTTTCCAAACGCACCAATTACATTTCCAATTCCAAGAAGTTCGACTGTTTGTTTCTTTTCCCTGGGAAATGTTTGTTCTACTGTTGAAACGATGCGAAATGATTAGAATCGGAATGTTCGCGAGGGTCGACGATCGTTAAATAAACCATCTTGACTAATTGTAAGTCGGTGCACACACGAAACATAACATGCAAGGCAGAAAGCTCGCTTTACGACGTTCAGCATCGATTCGCGGTTGAACTAGTTACAATATGTCTACCAACTAAGTTCGTTAACCGCTCAGGATTTGCCTTGCGATCGAAACAGCTTCTGTTCTCAAATATAATCTTTTTCAGCTACGGACGATTCTCAAAAATAAGCGGACAAACATCTCGCAGCTCACGACCGTGTCTCTCCTCTGAAGTTAAGTAATTTAACTCAAAGTATTATTGATTATCGATGACAATTGAAGATTAAATAGAAAGCTGTCATTCTGTCATTGTACAAGGAAAATTTCTTTCTAAAATAGTGCAATAGTTAAACCAAGAACCATCAATTCAATCAAGATTACCTTACTATTTATATTATATATAATTACTCTTCAAGCTCAAAGTTACCGAAAGTTTAAGAGATCGACATCGTATAAAACGAATTAAGAATACCTTTATCTCTATATTGAATGAACAATATCGAATAAACTAATTATTTCGAACATCTCAGATTACCTGTATGACGCAACATTACCACGATATGAATTTCAGATGAAACGAAAATCTATAAAGTCTACTGTTCAAACAAATTACTCTATATCATCGCACTTCGTGTTTATTTATTTATAAACGATGAAAATTACTTCATGGAATTTTGCTCGAACTTCCTCAAACAACATAACCGGGACTTCCATCCGTATGGTAAATAAAGTGTTCGAGTAAAAATG